TTTAGCCGCTTTGCCCGCCTCTCCTCGCTACTTACAACAAACCGTTCTTATACTCATCTCAAAATTTTTCTCAGAGCTTTGGGTTATTATCAGCTTCCATTTAAACTCCGGTTCGATGGCCGAATCGGCTGCCAAAAAAGCAAGCCACTGTTGAGGGGTTCTATGAGAAATTCGTGATATTATCGGCTCTCAGGAAATCACCCCATGGCTAAAATTGGTGGTATAAATGTTTAAGTGCTTAAAATAATCGTATTCAAGAAACTAAGGAATTAAACTATGGAGTCAATTTCTTTTTAATAATATAACGAATTTACTACCGGTGATTTAGCTATTATAGCCCCAGAATACTTTTAAAGCGCCTTTGCGTTCCAGAATCTCGACGGAATTTTTTTTTTTTTTTTTTTTGCTTAAACGATTCAAGAAACATTGTAGTTAAAAATATAAAGATTTTTCGATTTGGACGTATGAAAAATGTTTAACTCGTTCAGGCACACCGTGTATTGTATGGAGTACTGCTGTTATTCGACCGTTGTCTTCAGGTCAAAATTCTTACAAAGAAGCCCCTTGCAAGAGGCAAATTTTTTGTAATTTCTCCCAGTTTTTTCAGCGTTAGGTATATAAATGAATTGTTTGTCAAATTTTGAGGTCAATTATATTTAATTGTAATTTATACTTTCTTTTTTTCCCCTTCATTTTATTTTTCGTATCGAGGAGTCGAGGTTTTGTTGATTTCTTCGGATTTCGATTACTGTAACTTCTCTTCTATTCGGCCGATTTTTATGAATGAGGTCTCTTTTTATTTGTGTTTTAACGGAGAGTAAGGAAAAAATTGCTAAATACATGCGAAACAATTTTTTTTGAAAATTGGATGAATCCTAGCGTGACGGTGAAATGGTTAATGAAGCGTGAGTAATTGGGGTACGGGTATCGGCCGCGTTGGGACCCAAGGCCCATTGTTCTTCGTGACGCCGACGCAGTGATCAGGAGCGTGGGGACGAGAGGGCTTAGTGGACTCCTGTATGAGCCACGTTTAGCAAATGGTCTAATGAGTCTCGAGGCTCATCACAGATTGCACTTACCACTATCCTGGTGGCCCCGGCTATCAGAGCAAGGAGTACCAACTTTTGAAAAGGATAACAGTGTTGTGGAGATATGTCAAAGCAACGTTGTGAACAAAACGGAGTGAGTGAAATTCTCATTCAAGGAGTGCCGAACTGGTCAGCCATCCTCGAATCAGTTCGCTTGCTTCCGCTTATATATGCATATTTTAAATCAGCGCGCCCCATTCTAAGGTTTTTTTAAAAAAAACCAAGAAACGTAGACTCTTGGTATTCATTACACATAAACTAGCGAGCCCCAGAATGAGAAACAAATTTTAATCATTATTATTGACGGATTAGTAAACTTTTTACACGCTTTGGAAAATCTCAGAAGTTCGCGGTAGTCACTTTTCGGTAAGGAACTAGGGGACTCGGTTATTGTATCGAGGGGGGGGGGTCGAAACGATCGCAAAGGCGGTATACTACGTATACGCGCCAAAAAACATTGAAAATTCGATTATTACGTCAAAAAATACCTCCCGGCATTACAATTGGACTACATTTTGCAATTAGGAACTAAAAATTGGACCACATTTTGCAATAAGGAACCGCTATTTCTGGCTCATTTTAGAAACAACATATGAATCATTGGTGTCCCTATGCAGAAAGGTGCTTTTATGGAAGAGCCAGAGATTGTGGTTCCTTATTGCAAAATATAATCCAATTGTGCTTCAGTTTAAAACCATCGTATGTACCATTACTTCTCTATCCAGACAAGTGCTTTTACATATGGGTCGGAAGTTATATTTCGGAATTGCAAAATGAAGTCCAATTCATGAACGTCGATCTAATAGGAGGCGATACAGCATTTCAGGCCACATCTATCATCTTGGCTTTTCGAATTTTGACAATTTGAGTTGAAATTAAAATTTCCCCCAAAACATGCCAGCTGATACCAGGTTTCACAAAAATCGATTGAACAGGATTCGCATATCGCACGATCAGTAAGACCCTTCAAAGTGGTGAACGATACCAGTCAATTTACGGAAGTCAGTGCGCCTTCATTTTCGTCCGATACTGTGCAATACGTATGTGGTGGAATAGTTGCTCAGAGCGCCTTTCTCTCGACGGCAGCAAATTACGATTGCCAATGATATTACACTTTAGCGCGCGTGCAATTGCCAATTTTCTCATCACTTATTGTGAGGTAATAAACATTCTTACCTCGATTTGCGACGTTGTAAGTTTGACACCGCCTATTTTGTACCGGCAAACGAATATGGACACTTTACAATTTGCCGTGATTTTTCCGACGTATAACGAAAAACATTACTTTAACGTTTCATTCAAGTCTGTTTGTATGCTTCCTTTGAAAAAGGAAAAAGAAGTATGAGTAGGAACCTTGGAACGAACAAAAATTAGTCCGAAATTTTATAGCCCTTGAAGTAAACGGGCCCGAAGAGTTGATAAAGCGCCATAACGTACTAAAAGACCTAATTAACCTATTTATTAGACCTAATTGTTAACCTATTTTTTAGACCTTAATTGGACCTAATAACGTACTAAAAGACCTAATTAACCTATTTATTAGACCTAATTGTTAACCTATTTTTTAGACCTTAATTGGACCTAATTGTAACCTAATTTCCAAAAACTCGCCCAGCGAAATGCTCAATTCGACATTCATCTGTCATCATCAGGTGAATTTTTTTAAATCTTGCGCTCAACAAAATTGTTCATCAACCATCAGTAGGCGAAATAGCGTTGAACTCAGAATTCTTTTTAGGCGAATTTTCGCGACTGGATTCGGTCGAGTTTTTTGACTCACTGCCAACCCTAATTACGAAAAACGAAATTCCCTCCGGACGACGGTGCGCCTACATTTGATTTTCATGCTGGCAACAATGACGACTACATCCAAAGTGGATGGACACAAACGTTTGCCAAAATTCATCATTCAACTAAAAGTTCTTGACTTCAGCAGGTCAGTTGAAGAAGAAAAAGAAGAGTTGTTTCATACCACTAGTGTTTCTAGAAATTGGTTAAAAAAATGAAAAATTCTGAATTCGGTTTTTTCGTGTCAAAAAACGGCCGGATACCATGTTTCACGCGATTTCACCAGTCAGTAACGAAAACTCATTTTCGCCTTATTCTGAACTTAACTGGCCGCGCGCCATTTTGTCAAAAATCAAGATTTTGACTTGCGGCTTGCGCCAAAAATTTGCTCTTCTTTTCTTCTATTGATTGATGTGTCAGTGCCACAACGGAGAGAAAGGAAAGGTTGCCATTTCAGAAAAAAGTTGGGGCCCAAGTGTGGGTAGTTTCCCGTGGGGGTGGGGGCGAAAATTTTGAGGGGCCCTAAATAAAAGTAGCTAAAATTTATCCATGAACATCCCCAAAGTTTCGTTTCAAAATATTAAATAGGTGAACCTTTAGAGGGGATAGAAGGAACCGTTGGGGCACCTTGTATGTATTGTTATTGCGGGGTCTCTAAAATATACCGACCCAAACCCAGGCAATATTCTGCCGTGTTAAGGAAAAACGCAGTACGAACCTCCAGGTGTTGCCAAATTTCTCTCGGTAAACCATGAATTTTCGGGAAAATTTGTAAATATTTTCTCTCCAATTTTCAAGGTAATTTTTTTCGCAATTTCACCTGAAGTCCCTAAAAATTTCAAGGACAAATATTCATAACTTTCTTCAAAAATAACCATTTTCAGAGTGGAAATTTGGCAACTCTCGAATGCTCTTACGGCCTTTTTCCTTGGCACGGCAGTATTGTTGCGTTACTTGACAACGTCGATTTGATTATGACATCGTGCTGCATGTCGCGGTCGGTGTAGTGCAACAGCCAGTAGTTTTGCCGTGTTACGGCAGAAAACCTTAAGTGCGGTTTTGGATGGGCCTCGAGGCACGTAAGAGCGTGTGCTAACCATGGTTCATATAGAACTTCACTTGCGGCTCTCTTCCGTAACGCGGCAGAATTTGACATGCCAACAACCTCGCGTGCTGCGTTTTTCTTGTCCGTCCCTTTGTGGTTGACTTTCCGACCGCTCGGTGCTTGTTGGGAAACCGGTACCACGTAAAGTTCTATCTCAAGCTTGCGCGAGCTTTTCTCCATAGTTTGTTAACCGCTCTGCCGTGGTAGCGAAGAAAGCCGTAACTCTCAAATTTTGCGAAATCGAGTTTCCCCTCAAAATTCGTCTCAGAGCCCAATTAAGGTGATTCGATGGACGCCATATTTCGTGTCAGAACGGCATGCGATGTATTGCATCAATGAAGCACTTGCGCAAGGATCTGAAATTTGATGAATTTTATGTTTAAGTGGGATCTACCGAGTGGACTGAACACGAAGATACCCTTGATTCATAAATTGAGCAATTATTAGAGGAGATATGAAAAAATAACCAATTCTGCTAAAATACATGTGTTTTAATGGGAAATGCCGCCAGATGACGTCATAAGGCGGCATATTTTCTCACTTTTGAATCAATTTGTTTCCAATTTCCCATGTCAGAAAAAATTTATGAAAAATACTGCGAACTTAGCTCATTAGGCACTTTTGGATGAAGCAATAAAATTTTTGTGTGCAAATTCTCCATTGGTTCCATTTTTTCAGCTACTCGTCATTTTTCTCCAATTTTGAGATCGCAATTCTGTTGTCAAAAAGGCTTGCAAATTTTCAGGGATAAAGGCCGAATGAAATCAGTTTCTGCAGATGCACTCGTCAGTTCCGTTAAAATTTGTCGCCAGTACCGGGATTCGAACCCGGAACCTATTGACGGCTCAACACAAAAGTTTGGTTCATACGGACTTAAAACACAAAATTATCAAAACCTTTGGTTGGCTCCGGTGTTTCCCAGTCTCTCCGTTGTTTCCTGCTCTAAATTTTCTCTAAAATCTAAAAACTCTCTGTAATTTTGATGTTTTTCACAACGATTTTGTTGTTTTTTGTTTCAGGCGAGGCTGGTGTTGCGGTTGAGGGCGAGTGCGGGCATGCGGCCGCGCCTGTGCCTGCTCCGTGACGGGCAGCCGGGCTCGTAGCCGGCCGCGCCGGGCGAGAAAGCCGGGCGTGCCGGGGTCGGCGCCGCGACGCCGATATGCCCGGCCTCGTCGTGTTCCGGCGCCGCTGGAGCGTCGGCAGCGATGACCTCGTCGTCCCTGGGGTCTTCCTCTTCACCCTCCACGTCACATGGTGAGTTCTCTTTTCTCTCTCGCATCTCGAAGCTTTAGACATACCGTCCGTTCTGCCGCACCGGAAAAAAAAACACATTGGATCTAGAGTCCAGACTCTCAAAAACATCGACAAGAAAAAGTACTCTCGAATTAATCAGAATCTAGCTTAAATCAAGAACCAAGCCTCTTAATTTAAGCAGATTTCGTTTTGATTCAACCAAAAATCCGATTGAATCAAGAGTATTTTTGCCTGTCCATGTTTTCAAGACTCTGGACTCTAGATCCAATGTGTTTTTTTCCAGTGCGTGATAGTGAAGAGAGCAGTATGTGTCAAATTTTCGGAATCGAGTTTCATTCAAAATTCGTCTAATCTCTCTTAGATGAAATCGTTGATATAGCTAAAACGGCGAAATTCATCTTAATTATACCAAAACGAGACATGTGAGAAATCTGTAAGTGCGCAAAAAATGACGTAGCTCCAGGCAAGACAGCTGTAAGTGACATTATTCCTCCAGACAGCCAACGAAAACAGTGCTTTGAAGTAATGTGCCGCCCTTTTCTGCCAATTTCTAACCTGAAAATGCGTTTGTTGTGTATCCAAAACGCAACCACGAAAACATGCAGAAGATAGCACTTACGGCGTTCTTGCCGAACAGTAACCTAGCATGAAAATGAATTTTTAATCGTCAAAACGATTTCTAGGAGTCTTGCGGGCGATTAGTGGCAATTTGACATAGAACGGAGGCTTCTTTCAATAAAATTCTCCGGTCAGAAGCTTCTGAGCTCGTTTTCTCAAAACTTCATTTTTGCACTTACTGTCCTCTTCGCCATCACGGCAGTGTTCCAGATGCTCAAGCCGTAAGTTCGACTGCTCTGGGTTCAATGGCTTGAGCACCGGGTGCCATACCCGGAAATATCTGCCTCTGAGCATACACCAAGAATTGCAGATGCTCTGCGGTTTCCCTAAGCATAACGTATGGCTGCTTTCGTTAGTTCTGGAGGGTTTTCTCCGCTGCATTTACAATCGTTTTTACCATGAAATGCTCGAAATTCCGGTAAGTTGCAGGCCGGATTTACCTTCTTTTCGCTCACAGGCCGCCTGTATTTTGCCGCCTTCTTCTCATTTGTTTTGAAACTTCAATAAAAACCATCAAGTGAACAAGGAGGGGTGCATAAGACGCGTTTACTCGTGTTGGACACATTTTTTGCGAAAACTACTGGCAAAAGTTCACGGAACTTTGCGCGAAAGTTAAGTTCCGTAAACCTATCTCTTTGAGGACAACGCCTTCCATATATAAAAAATTAACAAACGAATTATGAAAGAACAAACATAAATATGGTTTAATAATTTTAACTTCCGCCGCCGCGCCGCGCCAAGCCGCCAAGCTGACCGCACTGTGTTTGACGCAATGCGTGAAGTATTTATGCAGTCAGGCGCTGTGCATTTCACGTCGACCGCTCCTGACCGCACTGTGTTTGGCGCAATGCGTGAAGTATTCATGCAGTCTTGTAGGCGCTGTGCGTTTCACGCTGATCGCACTGTATTTGACGCAATGCGTGAAGTATTCATGCAGTCTTGTAAGCGCTAATATGTTTTACATGCCGACCGCCTCTCCTATTCATCTCAAGTCCTTGTCATCATTGCTCTCTGCGCCGCGCTGCTCCAGGCCAAATTGCGGGTTCGGTTTCTCTCTTAACTCGACTTATCGAAGGTGCTGTCTCTTGTATCACCGAAAGATGACCAAATTATAAATTGCTGTAATCTCAGGAAATGAGAGATTTTGTCACCTTTTCTCGTTAGTAACTTTGTTTCGGAATCCGATTTTTTTTTATACCTACATTTAAAAAAGTTGTAAAATTTTCAACATGAACCATTTGAACCATGGACCGCTGCCCATGTGGCCACCCCCTAAATCCGGCCCTGATAAGTTGTGTAGCACCATGGCAGCGTTAAAAAATAGTTCAAAAGCTGGAAATGTTATTGGTACTGATTCCAGGTATTGACATCCGTGATGACTATTTTGGAAATGTTTTTAGTGGAATATTTGCATAATTTTGCAACGCTGCCATGGTGCTACTCAATCGAGCATAGAGTATTTCATGGTAAAAACGATTGTGAATGCGACGAAGAGAAGCTTTTCAGAACCAACAACAACATCAGCAGCCACCAGCTCAAGATAACTAGAGCGCCTGCAATTTTTTGTGTATGCAATACGGACTTCCCGAGAACACGAATAGTTGCATCCAGAACTAGCCACTGAAAAATTGTCCGTCAGAATCTAAGAATAAAGCCAAAAATACTGCTTCCAATTCTTAGAAGATTTGAAGGCTTCGATACCGAATCTAGAACAGTATACATTTGACTTTCTTATTAGATTTTCGAGGACAATTTTTTGCACCAACATTCCATAATCTAGAGACTACCGCAAGACTAGATTTAGACACTGCTCACTGGGAATGAACACAGGTTGACAATCGAATCGAGGGCTACTGCTATTCTCCCAGGGCCTTAAAAGTTGATCTTGTGATGGAAAATCTCCAATTAATTCATCTAGAATTCGTGCGATCTGTAAGCTGCATTAAGATATTCGTTGTAATTACCAAAATCCACAATCAAAGCGGTGGCAAAACACGAATCCGGAAGTTGAGTAGTCACCTCCGTTGGAAAGTCTTAATGAAAAGAATCTCAAGGCTCCCCGCCTCTTTCTCTAGTCTCTCATTCATGAAACATCGACCTCTCCGTCTCTCGTTCCTCTAATCTATTAGTCCCGTCACTTCGCACAGTGGATCGAGTCAATACGAGAGGTCGGACATAAAATTTTTGAATAAAACTGCAAATTTTGATGTTTAATTCGTCACATTTTAAACTTCAAGAGGTGCTTCTTGAAGAAAACTCACGAGGAAACCAATAGAACCACTTTCAGAACCTCGAAGTCTTGTATAAACGGAGTTAAAAGCGTTGAAAGTTTTCAAATTTTGTCCGACTTCTCAAATTGATTCGATCCACTTAGAGTCCCTTTATACTGAGAGTCAAGACAATGTGAATCCATTTCTGATTGGTTCCCGTATTTTAGGCGTTCGCAGTGTCACAAATGGGAATAAAGATTACATTTTCACCGATTGCAAAGATTATAATCTGGAATGGACCAGGGAATTACGGGTTTGGCAAGGAACAAACGGAATGAGAGAAGGAACGGAGAAAGGAGTTTGAGAATGGGCCGATCAAAGATTACGAAAAACGTTCAATTTCTGTAATCTTTTTTCCCGTTTGTGACTCCATGAGGGGTGTTGTCTTGACTCTCAGTATAAAGGGACTCTAGATCCACCGAGCGTCGGTCGTAAGACGTGCATCCCTACACGCAGCGCACCTGAATTCGTATCGTTAGAAGCATCAGGAAGATTGAGGCAATAGACTCCGGAGGTTCATCGTCGCTATTGAAAAGCCCTTCTCGTGTTCCACCGTATCTCTTCCTTGGACCCACCCCCGTCCCCCGTCCCCTTGTCTGCCCCCCATCCCCTTGCTTGCCCCCTTACCCACGCCCCCACCAGTGGCGAGGCGTGAACGATCGACTATCGATATTTTCTCATTTGAAGCTACGATAAAGAATCGATTATCAGGGTGCTCCTTGCGCACACCCTGTTTATCGATCCTTTACCATAGGTTTAAATGTCAGTTTAATCGACTTATCGCAAAGTACGCTACGCCACTGGCCCCCACCTGAATCGGAGAGGGGGTTATTCTTAAAATCGATGGCGGCAAAGGCTGTTAAAAGCTGCAGACTTCGAGTGAGAGGAAGACGCGGGGGTAGGAGGACGGGGAGGTAGTANGGGGGGGGGGGGGGTTGAACGAGCGCCAAAACGCCTCGTAATTAATCCGTTAGCGGGTTGAGCTCCTCGGAGACCCCCGTCCGAGGTGGATTACGGCCGACTGCGAAGAATCAACGAATTCGACGTTAATTGAAGCCCGGCTTGTTTTATTGTTCCGAGCTCGGTCAGTTTCCTTCCCGACCGCCGCCGCACGGTGGACCGAGTCGATGGGAGAGGCCGGACGAAATTTGGAAACTTTCAACGCTTTTAACTCCGTTTTTACAAAACTTCGAGGTTCGAGAAGTGGCTCCATTGGTTTCCTCGTGAAATTTTCCTCTAGAAGCACCCCTTAAAATTTAATATAATAAGCCTCCAGACGTTGCCAAATTTCCCTCGTTCAAACACGAATTTCCCCGGAGACCGGTGAATTTTTTTCTTCCAACTTTTCACGAAATTCACAATTTACAATTCACAATTCATCGAAATCATCAGAAAGTTTCAAGGAAAAATACTGATAACTTTCCCAAAAATGAATATTTACTCACTAGAAATGTGGCGACATTCAAATTATCAGACGGCGTTATGCCATAGCTCGGCAGAACGGGCGGCGGCGCGGCGCACAGTGAACCGAGTCAATAGGAGAGGTCGGACAAAATTTGGAAACTTTCAACGCTTATAACTCCGTTTTTACAAAACTTCGAGGTTCTAAAAGTGGTTCCATTGGTTTCCTCGTAAAATTTTCTTCGGTAAGCACCCCTTAAAGTTTACAATGTGACGAAATAAAAATCAAAATTAGCAGTTTTAGCCAAAAATTTCATGTCCGACCTCTCTCACTGACTCGCTCGATTGTGCGGCGGCGCACAATGGATCGAGTCAATTAAAGAGGTTGGACATAAAATTTTTGACTGAAACTAAAAATTTTGATGTTCATTCCATCGTATTTTAAACTTTAAGGGGTGCTTACCGAAGAAAATTTCACGAGAAAACCAATGGAACCACTTTTAGAACCTCAAAGTTTTGTATAAACGGAGTTATAAGCGTTGAAAGTTTCCAAATTTTGTCCGACCTCTCCTATTGACTCGGTTCACTGTGCGCCGCGCCGCCGCCCGTTCTGCCGAGCTATGGCTAAACGCCGTATGAAAATATGAATGTCGCCACATTTCTAGTGATTAAATATTTATTTTTGGGAAAGTTATCAGTATTTTTCCTTGA